CTCTAACTGTGCATTCTAGCAGGGTATCTGAAGTCTTCTTGTAATAATTCTTATAAATAACACAATATTATCATCTTTTTATACCAGTTGAAAAGAAGATAATCAATGCCAAATCTGTCCACTGGAATCCTATCGAGTTTAAGTTATCAGTTTCTGGTTATGCGACAACCGTGTCTATTGTTGGGAAATGGTTACTACACAAACAGCAATTTATTTTAAACAAGACTTCTTTCTAAGCAAGCCAACGTCTATTCAATGGTATATTTTCTATGCAGACTTCCATATGCAATAAAAAAAAATTGCATAGATGTCGCTAGAATATCGGGTAACTGCATTTCTACTTTAATTACGCAAGTTAAACTCTGAAAAATGCTCCATAAAAAAAAAACAAAAAACCTTTCAAATATTTAGGCTAAAATTTATCAATAAATAAATATATTTCCAGTAGTGTTAAAAGCATTTTCATCAAGTGTTATTCTAGAAAGGTGAAAAAAATCTTGGGAAATTAAGAGCCATCCTTTTTCCTTTTTTTTTTTTTATTTTGCCTTATGTAAAATAAATTTTAAAAAAATATTATTTTACAGAAACCTTTCCTCTCGATGACTACTTATTCACGTGACTATCTAAACAGATTTAAGAAATTAAGAAAACTGACGTAATTTCGAAAATTATTTTCAAACGATTTTCTTTTTTAATAATGTTTTGACTTGAATTTATTTCAAATTATTTTAAGTTAGGTTGGTGGGTTTTAGGACATGTTTTCGGACTCGTTGATGGTGCTACTGTGATTTGTTATCAACAAATAAAACATATCTACTTTTACTTAAGAAAAAATGTCTATACCATACAAATTTTATTTTGGAATGATATCTACAAAGTTAAACTGGTGTTATTTTAGCTTGTTATATTTTCCTTGTAGATAACAAGCCAAAGTAGCCAACCTTGTTGCTTTATTTATTGCGCGTAAGTGAATATAACAAACTCGACTGGAATTCGAACTTCGCTCTCCGATTTCCAATTTCGAGTCGTTATCAATTACACCATCCGCACATCTAAGTTTACAACCTTGTTATTCTCAGTCGGGGTTCGAATTGATTGATTATTGGTTATCCAACAAGAACCGGTGTATCAACGTAATATGGTCGTAAGCTTTTTAATGACTGGAAGATAAATTATTTTTTTAAGACAGAGATCCACTTAAACACAGGAAATAATAAATGAAAACATGGGATCAATCCTCGAAATCAGATGCTTACTTTTTCCTCCTTAGAAACCGGGTCAGGGTGTGATAGAGTAATGGAGAGGTGCCGTCCGTCTAACCTGTCACGCCATCTAACCTGTCGGTCGGTGCAAGTAAGAAGAAGACAGGAAGGGACCCATGTGCCATCTTCTTACTACCAAAAAGGATACTAGAACCAACTTAACAACACCAGTGAAATAAACACCTAATTTAAATAATTGAAACCATGGTTTGAGTTAGCATTTCTCGGTGTTTTCGTCTTGCATTTCCTTGTAGACGTGCAACAGGCCCTTACCAAGTTTCAGGGCACAATGAACAGAATGAAAAAGAAGACGCGACAAGAAGCAATCACTGACCAGTGAAAGCAGAGATTAGTGTCTGTCTTCGATTGTTAGCAGCAGTAACTAGTAGATTTATATGTTAGAAATTCAACAATGACATTAGTCGAATTTCTATACTACCATTGTAACTGATATAGCACAAAGTGTAAAAAAATACCAGTTCTTCATAAACTAGAGTATTTTTTACAGCAATAATCTGTATTTGTAAATACTCTTTTCTTTGTTTCTAACGAAGTTTTTTTCTGTGTCTTAATACTCTGCTTAGCTTTTGGAATGCATCATTTGTTATCCTAATGTGTCTTCGGATTTCAGTGTCGCACATTCTGTCCCATGTTAGAACATTTCTCAGTTTTTTTTGTTTTTGTTTGATGTTTGTATATCTAATTTGTAATTCCCATTTTGGGTTCATTCTTTTGCTAACAACCTTGGACTCTGTCTTCTTGCAATTTATGTTTAGTCATTTCTTCTCGCATTCCTTCACTACCTTCTGTAGAAACTCTTTTAGTTTTCTTTCCGTGTCTGCTATGAACACTATCATTTGAATAACCTATGTTAAGATTGTGTCCCCCAGTAATTAAGCCTGGTAAGAGATCTAATTCGTCCAGAAAGACCTCGTTGCCTAGGTTAGATAAGCCCGGATAGACAGCACATCCTTGTCTTACAACACTTTCTATTTTTGTTTATCTGCTGAACTAATTTTCTATCCGTATGCAGGCGGTCTGCTGCCACTATAGTTTCTTATCGAAGAACTTCCCGTAAACTGTAAAGCCCAGGTCGTGTACCTGTGCTTCATAGATAATGCAAACCTTTCTGCATTTGTATTATTCTATCTGGTCGCATTCTGAGCATACATAATCGCGTTCTTTGTTCCATTGTCTTTGACGAACCGGCACTATTCTCATCAGATCTCTAGTTCTATTCTGTTTCACGCTCTATTCATCAGAATTCGGATTATGAGTTTGTTTTTATATGGCTTATTAGGCTGATTGTCTGATACAGTTCACATCTGTTTGCACATGGTTTCGGGTCCGGGTAACCGGCAACTTTGCACATATGTATGCGTATGGGCCCATATATAAAACCTTATATCATATCAAACCTACTTGACGAATAAATAAATATTTTGTTGATGATGACAATAGGGAGATCCATGTTTAGTGTTGCGACTGTTTAATTTTTATACACCTCAATAAACCTCATGGTTTACAGTCAAATCACATTAAAAGCAGCAGCTGTAACCCGAGGAGGGAAGTTACTTGAATCTGATTTAAACTTAGATGGGAAACTGCTTATAAATGCCAGTTTCTGCAAGCACGTCGTCTTCTTGTACTAAAGCAAAGGAAGCTTTAATAAATCGATTCATACCTTATAATTTTTTTCAATAGAATAAGGAATTCTCTTTTTTTTGTGCATATTTTCACACGTGAATGTAGTTATCGCTTTATTTTCGTTGATGCAAGTCATTTTTTAGAATTTCGAACCATCTTGGTGACAAAAAGATTTAGAACAGAATAGCGTTAATTTTTCACCTCAAACAATAGTGAAGAATTCTTTCTGAATTTTATCGCAAATATTTCTTTCTGACACTGACAAACAATATGCCTTACTCACGTGAATATCTCAACAGCCGGGAAGAATAAAGGGAACATCACATTCTTACACTCGTACACATGGTGGAAAAAAATGTGCGAATTCCAGAAACGAAATATAACATGGCGTAAGTTTATTCCTACGATTGGCATTGCTGCACTGACTATAGGTAAAGTAGGAATTTAATTTAGAAATAACATGTAAGTTTCCAGTGGGCGTGGGGAAACCACCATTAATGACCTTCCGATCTAGATTCAGGACCATGATTGCTGGCGAGATAAACTCATAAATGGCTGCACTAGCCTGACCAAATAAATAATGTCCTCGCTTTACACTATTTCAGATAACACGGAAAGTGAACTTTTTTTGTTTTATTTAGGGCGAATTTACATAAAGTTACTTTCGGAAAACAGCACTTAATTCTACACGAAAGAAACTTCAAAACATGAGTTAAACCCACCTGCTTTTTTCAAAGCGAAATATCGAAAACTCTAAATACAGAAGAAATCGGACAAAAGTAATCTGTAGACGTATAAAAAAATTTACATTGATGCATAACTATATTCAGATAATAAAATGCATCTTGTTTGTTGTACTCACAGCGTTCCAGCAAAGAAGTTTAAATGTAAAAAAGATGCAATAATAATAATAATAATAATACTTTAACTCAAAAATTTCGTCATAGATTTTTTGCACTCTCCAAAAAAGCGAATCTGGAAATCTTTTGTCTTTTCTATTCTGAGAAAAATAATTCACCCTGATGACAATTTATATGTCTCCTCAATTCTGGTTACTTTGAAGATATAAGAGTTAGAATGTTTAAAGCGGAATTTGGATTGAAAAAAAAAAACGTAATATACATTTTAAAGATCTAAATTTGGAAAAGTTCCACTTTGAAATTGATTGCAGCCTAGAGATACGCGCTTTATTCTAAAAACAAGTTTTTAGAATGTCCACTTATATTCGAATAAAACTAATCGAGCAATGGAACTGAAGCATTTACCATTCTGCAGAGAAACTCTGTCAGCCTGCTCGCCACTGAATCACTTAAGATGTTAGCAAAAATATTTCAAACAACGTCTATTAAAATGGAATTAAATATTATTAAAATGAGAAAAGTTTAAAGTTAGATGCATTTACTTTTGTAGATTTTGTTTCATTTTTGCGCATGCCGTGGTGAATTTTCAAAATAATAGAATCTTCAAAATATTAGAATTTTCAAAATAATTGAATTTTCAAGACATTATAATTTTCAAATCGTTTAAAATATAAAATAAGATAAACGTATTGGAGTCTAGGGATCAAATGACATTTTTTTTATATATAAACGCAATTTCCGATTCTTGTTGAAGTATTGCTGTTGGAATAATTTTAATTCTTCCATAAGAAACCTATGGAAGAATTGTAATTATTCCAACGACAATTCTTCTATAATATTGGGAACAGGATTGATCACCCAATTCCTGGAAAGTTTCAGGCTGAATATGAGTTTTAATAAATCTGTGTTTGATTTAGACATCTTTCTTTTAAAATATTTAAATTGAACTTTTTCATCCAAGGCTATTATTAAATCTTGAACGTTTTTCAAACTATCCCTATCATTCCATCCACACAGATTTGTTATTATTTGAAAATTTTCCAGCCAGCATTTTTATTTCAACCCCTTGTTTATTTGAAACTCATGTGTATGCATTTTATAGACTTTGACAAAATAGACTTATTTGACAAAATATAATTGTGAGAATAAGTCTTTTCATTGCTTATTAGTTTCATATTTCTGTTTTTGAAACGTTTCTGTTAATGTATTCTTTGTCCCTTTTTTTTATAACATGTTTTCCTCCTTCTCTAATTTTTTGTTAGCCATTTTATTACTCTATCTTTATCTACATCTTTTTCTTTCCTTTTCTTTCTATCTTTCTTTATGTCTTTTTCTCTTCTTTCTTCTAATCTTTTCCGACTTCTTTTTCCTCTCGATTCTATTTTTTCTTGTTACTTTCCCTCACGTTGCATATTTTGAATTTTTTCTTTCTTCTGTTCTCCCCTCTCATATTTCTTTACCTATCCTTTCTTTTTACATTTCTACTCATCCACTCTCTTTTTTCAACTCCCTCTCTTACGCACAGCAACTATTCTCTTTTCATTTCTTTAACATTTCGACTTATCTTCGTCCTTCTCCCTACAACCAAATATATTCTTTCTTATTTCACCCTCTCTGTGATTCCATCTGCTCGTTTTTTTTCTTACAATTTCTAGTCTCTCTCTCTCTTACTCTCTCTCTCTCTTACTCTCTCTCTCTCTCTCTCTCTCTCTCTTTCTCTTCATCATTTTCAACTTCTCGACATTTCTTACTCTTCGCTTTTTGCACATCTTTCTTTTTCTTCCATTCTCTCTCTCTCTCCTTCTTTCCCTACTCCTTAACTTATCAACCTCTTTGTATTCTCCCTTGTCTTACTTATCCTATTCTTTCTTTCTTTCTTTCTTTCTTTCTTTCTTTCTTTCTTTCTTTCTTTCTTTCTTTCTTTGCTCTCTCTCATACAGTATCCTTTAGCATTAGTTTTTCCCTCTCTCTTTTTTTCTTTTCCAGCGCCTATTTATATTCATTTGTTTTCTCTATCTTACTTGTTTCTGTCTCACCCGTCTTTTTAACCATTATTTACATTTTCCTTAATTCTATTTTATATCTTTTATTAATAACAACGTGAAAATATCAGCGATAAAAAAAATAACACCATCGAAGCAAATGGCCATTCTAATAGTCTTTTTGGTCTTTCGCTTATTTCTTTCTAAAGCGTAATTTACGAATTGAAACAAAGAAATTATGATTTTTCATTACGTCACTTCAAAGGCAATCGCGAACGAATCAAATCGATTATTGTATGTACGTTTATTTTATTCTTACTGACCCTAAATAAGATTCTCTTCAATTCCCTTCTATCAAAATTATGACAATGATTTTTTTTTTATTGAAGGGTAAGAAACTAAGTTAGTTTTTTTTAGGATCTTTGTACTTAAACAATCTTCATAAAAACTAGATAAGAATTTGCATCTCTTATCGGTCTTGACCTGGCATCTCGGCTTCACTCACTTTCGCCCTAGAGTAGCTTCCCTGTGACTATTCTATAAATATTTTCATTGTAACAGTTCTGATGAGCTTTCCTCTTTGATACCTCGGGTTTAAGCGCAGTACTTGAATGGCAGCTAGGTCTCATCAATTTACAGATAAAATTGCTAGATGTAGCTCTTATATCTTAACAGTGTTTTTCTTTTGCACATCTCCCTGGGCAACTCTTATCTGGCTTCTTACTTTCCAGTCAGATTTGATGTTCAAAAAGTTTAATCGTTATTTTATGCCTACGTGAATTTTCTTCTGTTACTGTTCTTTCTTCTCAATAACATTTTCTCAGTTTCCTTCACTCTCAGTAACCTCTTGCATCTTAGTGGCTTTGTCACCTTGCTTTGGGTAAAAAGATTACAAAAAAACCAGGCTGCCATTATAGCATCCTACTTGAAGATGTAACTCCGCTCTATAGCCTTGGTTGGCAACCAGACTAGAAGAAAAACGCTGAATTTAAATCACCTTCTGCCTTGTCAGTCCTACTTCATTAGTTAAAGGCTAAAAGATTGTAATTCAAAAACAAATTCACAACGCATGTCGTCACGAAGAAAGGAACCTGCCCCCCACCCCACCTACTTCGAGCCACAATAGAAAATAATGAACTCCGCTGGCTTAGTACAGTGATTCGAACAAACCCAACACTGGGCTACCGCACGGCGCGGTGGAGGTCTCTGACATTGAATAATTCGCCCACGGACGTATCACCCACAGCACCTTAGACGAGAGATTCTAAGATGGCTGGTATTATGATAGATACTTTGCAATTTTACACCTTTAACAAAAACTTGAAGGTGCTAGAAAAAAACATATGTATTAGATAAATAATGGTTGTCTACGTATTCACAAGTCTTTCTATCTCATAGAACGGGGTCGGCAATAGATAAACCTGATCTTCCTCCCGGCACAACACAAGAACGAAACTAAATAGGCGTTGGCCAAGTGCTATAAATCAGGGATGATGGCCCGAGTTATTTTAGTGCATGGTAACCCAAAGTATCTAAGGCTTTTTTTTTTCTCTCCACGCCAAGCAACCATTTACAATAGCTATCTACACTGCCTAGCTTTCCTGTCTGCCTCTCTTTCCTCTCGTAGACCGATGAAGTTGGTGGTGGTGTAAGAATTGCCGCTGCTGATGCACGCAGAACGATGGCTGTGGAGGAGGAGGAAGCGGAATAGTGACAATCAAGCTAGAAAAGTACAGGTTGAATGTACAAGACAAGCGAAGGTTCAGAGAAGACGTCACACAAAGAAATGGAGGGAAATTTGGTCCTAAATGACGAGGGAGCTTGTAAACTAATCAGGAAGCCAAGTTAAGATAGCTGGAAGATTAAGCGAGGTTGTAATGCGAATTTGTGATGTGAGGGTAGAGTGGTAACTGGAGCAGAATAATGACGAATGAGATGGACAGGATGTAGATATGGTGATGATTAATGCGACACGTGACTAGGATCTGATCTCAATTTTAACTCATAAAGTAATCCGGTCAGCTCATTCTTCATTTATGTCCTCTTTTTGATTCTGATAACTCGGGAATTTTGTCTAAGTATTTTTAGCACTTTTTAAAATATTTTGAAAGGACTTCTAATATTCATCTATCTTCACTTGATTTCATTCGTTTTATATATATTTTTTTTTCTTTTTTCTCTTGACTTTTTTCATTCTAATTTTTCGTTTCATTCTTCATTTCTTTATTTTTCATTTTTCGTTTCTGTTATTGTTTCTTTTTCTGTCTATATATTTTTCTCGATTTTCTCATTCTTTATTTTTTCTTTCTTTTAATTTTGTTTATTTACTTTTCTGTCTTTCATTTTTTGTTTATTTTTGTTTATGACGTCATTAATTTCTTTCGTTAGCCCTTCTTTTCCTTGTTCTTCAACGATTTTCGTCCATTTTTAAGTTCATTAAATTGATTCTTTCATTTCTTTATTTATTGCTTTACTTCATTTCTCGTGTATCACTCTCAACTACTCTCCCTCTCTCTATCACCCTCTCACTATCTACCTCTCTTTTTTTTCTCAGCCTGATAGATAGATAGATAGATAGATAGATAGATAGAGCAGTCTATTCCTGTCTATCTACTTATTTCT